CCGGCGCCCGCGCGCCCCTCGCTCTTCCCTCACCCCTTCGCTCGACCACGTCGGCCCCACTCGGTTGGGACTAGGTCGGGGACCCCCAACCCGCGCCTCCCTCCCGGTCGCTTTCCAAGAGACGCCCAGTACCGATGCCCTGGATGAAGACGAAGCCAGTGACCACAAGCACCGGGTGCCAGTTAAACTCGAGCGCGGTCCCATCCCAGCCGAGCCCCTCCCGGTAGTGGAGGACCCAGACGAGGGTGAAGATCACGGACAGGAAGCCGACGAGTAGCCCCGACACCAGCAGCCCCAGGAAGCCCCTGTAGCCGTCCATGGCCATCAGAGTCCCATACTCCGCGCCCGGGCAGCCACAAGAACTCGGCGAGGCGGCGGCGGCCTCTGGGTACCAGCCCCGCGGCAGGACGCGGGCGTCGACTTCTTGAAGCTGTCTCCGCCCGGGAGGAGGGGCTTTCTCGCCGGCTAGCCAGAGATGTGGGGCCTCCACGGGGTGGGCAGCTGGCCCTCGCTCAGAAACCAGCCCCACCCGTGGGATCTCGCGGCCGCCGAGAGCTCTCCGCGCGGTGGCCGCCCCCTGGCCCGGCGTCCGAGCTGGCCGAGGGCTCAAGTAACTGAACCAGTTAGTTGTTCAGAGCGAGAGCTCCGAGAATCCCAAACCACCACTTTAACTTTTCTTGTGTCTCTTCCTTCTTGTGGGAGGCTGAATAAGGCAGTGGTGCGCACTCTCGGTTAACAGAAAACAAGGTCCATTGGGTGTGATTTTGATTAACGAAGCACTCTAAGCCCCAGGCCTAGAAGGTTGGCTGTCTTTGATGTCAAGGAAGCGCCAAGCGCCAAGGAGGACTCTGTGGGGCGGTATAGGCTTGGCCTTACCTAGCAAGGAAACTATTTGCAGTTTGCGCTTCAGAGAGGGAAGACAGACACCTCTTGGACCCTGGACTTGCCTATGTAGTGTAATAAAAAATGGATCCTAAAAGTGGCCCCCTGCCCAAATCTATTTGGACCAAAGCCCCGCCTTGATGAAGTGAAGCTCACGCCCTCCCTTCTTTCCAACATTATTATCACTCTTCTCAATTGGACAAAAAATGTGTCGGTGTTCTCTCTTGCTATTAAAGGAACAGGGCTCTGGCTATTAGGACTTCTAGAATGTATTTGGGAACGTTCACTTCTAACTCTCTCCTGTAGCTCCTCTCTAAGGACTACTATACCATATTGTCTTGTTGCCATTTTGAAAGACCTTAGAATGTTCAAGAAGTGCATAGGAGTGATTTTAAATGGAAAAGACAGGTTTTAGGCCAACAAGTAGGAGTGTCAAACCCTGGTAGTAGCAGGATTAAGGGCTAAGAATAAGAGGCTGCAGACCTCAGCAGTATCATTATTTTTCCCTTGGTGGACAGAGAAAGAGAGGGAGAGTAAGCAAATGGAAAAGAAGGACTGCTTCCCACAGTAGAAGGCTTTCTGTGGTCTGGCCCAGTCTAGTCCTCCACTCTAATCCTTTACCACAACCTGACTGGCCCTGACTGAATCAACCTGTCCATGGCGGTAAACTTCTCTCCCAGCTCCTGACCACTCCCTACCCACTTCCCTGCCCAACCCCATCTCCACCAAGAAACCTTCTTTGAGTTTGCCTATACGCCTATTTTACACCTCCGCCCACCTCTCCATCCAATGCCTCTCTGCATCACTTATCAAGATGTAATATATAAAGATCTGTTTCTGTGGCTGTCTCCACTCCCTTGACTGCCCCCTCGAGGCTATAACTGTCTAATTTATCATTTTATTTTTCTGTGGCATATAGTAGTTACTCAATATGTTGGGAGATAAATGGCAGGAAACAGATGGCACATTCCAATTGGGCAATTTAATAACGCACAGGACTATTTACAAAGTTGTGGGCAGGGTGTGTGAAACCACAAGGGTTTTGCAGTGTCCAGGCCTGAGTGGGGAGATGGCTACTGGAATCCCGAGAGGGAGAGAGAGAGAGAGAGAGAGAAAGAGAGAGAGAGACTATGGCCTTGAGTTGAAGGATGCAGCCAGCTTGCAGGGACCCCATAGGGAGGAAGAATGGGAGGCAGGATGAATATTCCAGCCTTACTCTCTTCCCCTCCAATCTCCTGCCCAGGGACCCAGTGGTTGAACCTAATCGGAAGCCAGAGGGCAGTTGATGCAGTTCATATAGGTCAGCCTCTGGGGACACACAGCAGAGTGGAGAAGGGTGAGAGTAGATCCACAGGAATAAATAGAGACTATACTGAAATCTTCCAGTTCTATATTTTCAGTCATTTGGTTCCTGAGTGCTGTATACATGCCCTGTTTAATTTTATGCTGTTTCTCTTCCTCTGCGACCTTTAGCTAGTAGTTCTTGAACAAGAATGTCATTGTGTCCCTATTCTTCTCCCTGAAAGTATCTAGTCCTTGTCCCCAGTTAACTTCTTCACCCCCTTAACTCAATACCTTCACTCCACTCGAGTTGATTTTGCTCCATAGCAGCAGCAAATAAGAATCTCCGGGATTCCAGAGCCCATTTAACAAAACATCTCAGGAAAAGAAAACATGGCCAAATGGTACGGATGGTGTTGAATCAGCTTGAAGTTACAAGCTAAACAGAGAATTTCAACTGTTAAGTTGTCCTTTAAGGACCTAACTTTGATAAAACTTGTCACTTGGAAAAGGAAAATTTTCACTAAGTATTCACTAAAATTTCACTAAGTGGCTTAGTGTTAAGAACTTTTTTTTTAACAGAGTTGTCCAATAATAGGAGATGGTAAACAGTTTGTCACCAAAGTACTTACTCAGACTAGATAACCTGTCAGTAATTGGATCTAAGAGATTCCTGATGGGGGGGGCACGGAAGTGAGGCATTGACAACCTTCCAAAAAACCTGTGATTCTAGACACACGTACATAATGACACAGATTTTTATTTTCGCTGACGTAGACATAAAATGCAGAGTAAGAAGATAAGGTAGGGAAAGAAAATCCAACCCCACCCATCTATCTGTTGAACTTCCACGAAGTAATGTTGCATTTCTTTTGGTGCATACAGAGGTCCAGTATTCTAATGTAAAGTATGATAAGTTGTACATAGTGGTTTGCTTTGTGGGATAAGTGGACCATTTTTTAAACTTGCAAATGTTGACTATGTGTTGGTTACTCTGTTTGCCCCTCCATTCTCCACCCTTCTTTGCCTTGCCTTGTCCCCTGGCAGGCTCCTTGCCCACTGGCTTCCATTTGGCTTTGGCCAATGGGTGGTTCTGGAAGGAGATCAGAGGGCAGGAAGAAAGAGAGGTCGACCTATTTATCCCTCTGTGCCCCCTTGCCAGGCCATGGTTTTTGCAGTGGTTGCGTTCCTCTTTGCCACGACGACTGTCAACTTTCAACTGGCCTGTCTTCCATATCTACAGCTCTTGTAGGGTCCAGTAACACCACACCCCTTTGCTTCTGCAGGCCCAGGTGTAATATTGGCTGCCTGCTCTTGCTTGTCCTGGGTCTTCACCATTCCTTGTTGGGTTCTCTTAAGTCTGTTTGCACCTCTATAAAGAGTCCCTTTATTAAACTCTCTTCAATTAAATCCTTTGGGCAAACTAGCTGTTTCCTGCAGGACTCTGACAGGGACAAGTGGAAAAATACTCTCATCTAATACTACTGTTTCCCTAGCCCCACCTAATTGTCTATGTCTTCTTAGGACATATTATGAAAGGAGGAATACATGAAGCAAGAAAAAAATCACAAGCAGGAGGAATGAGCTCACACATCTTCCTGTCCTCGCTTCTACTAGACAAGAGATTTGGGGATCAGAAAGCTGTCTCAAATGACTAAGATTAAGCGACTCAGAGCTGACATCGTGACTCAAGATGTAAGCCAAACCCAGGCAGTGGTCAAAGGCTCCTTAGTGAAATAAAGTGAGGGTTACAGTTTTGAAAAGAACACAATCAAACCCATGTTAATAGGAGGAATATAATTTCCTCATGTGAAGCTAGACTGTGTTGTCTTCAGGGAAAAAAACTAAATGTCTACTTTGCTGAGGTGTTTCTCCTCTGAGGGAATTGGTGAAGAGATCAGCCCAGCTCTTGCTGTGGGGAGAATGGCTATGGAACTGGCCTCTACCACCTCCCTACCTCAGGAGACTCACCGAGTCCACTCGCCCCAAGAAAGTGGCTGGAGTAAGGAATGATTTCACTTGTATCTGGCCATGGCCTGAGGAGCCCCAGTTTGGGAAGAGATGGGAAGTAACTCTCTTGCTGAGGGAGCAGAATAGTACAGCAGACTGGGAAGCAGATACAAGGAGTAGAGGAAGATGTCTGGGGAGAACAGGGGTTTGAGGGGAGGACCCTGAAAGGAGCCCAAGCAAAAGGCCTAACTCAATAGATCCTCTTCCCGCTGCTGCACTGGGGCATTGGGTGGGGAGGGGAGGGAGGTTAGACCAAGGCATTACTTCTGTTCCTTCCACACTATACTGCTTTGTAAGATCTACCTGACCCGCCATTTAATTTTTAAAATTGCTTCCATCATCATCTTGTGTGAGTTGGTTTGGGGAAAACTGGTGAGGCAGGAAGCACTTAGGAAAGAAATTGTTAGCTCTTCCTAATCATCTTGTATCTTCCTAATCATCTCGCAAGATAAAATTGCAATGACCCCGTCCTGGTCCTATCTCCCCAACCCAGACATTAGTCGGTGGAGTCTAGTCTAGGCAAAGAGTCTGGACTTTATCCAGGCAGAAGAGAAACAGGATTAAATTCCCTGATTCCCTAATTCTCATCTGCCACCTTTACCCCATAGGTTAGCAGGAAATAACCAGGTGAGGAAGAAAAGAATGGGGCTTGGTCACATCTAGGTTCTCTTTATTTTAGAACCCTCCTTCCCATGCAAATTTATAAACCCTAGATTAAAATATAAGCTCCTTTGAGGTGAAGATTTGGTCTGTCTTATTTGTTGCTGTTCGTTCATCCAGGGCCTGTGTTCTAAAAATGTGCCCAGGATTTGTTTTGAGCTAGTACGACACACAGACATGAAAATGACTGCCATGAAGGAAGAAGTTATTTTTTTATACTCACAGTGCCCTAGACACAAGAGGCATGGCACACTGTGCAGGGTCACACAGGGCCACGTAGGGAAGTACTGAAGCAAGATAAGCAGGCAGAGAGGGGAAGTGCCAGCAGGAGCCTTTATTGTGGTTTTCGAGGGAAGGAATGAGCAAAGCAAAGTAAGCAAGCAGAACAAACTTATAATTGGCTAGTTTGAATAATTTTGGCGGGCTCTGGTGATCCCCGGTTGTCTGGCACCTGGCCCTGTAGTGACTTGGACAAGGGATAGTGTGCCAGACTGTAGGAGTCTGATAAAAGAGACGGGTCGGGCTGGGGAATAGACTTGGAATTGGTCGGTCTGCGTATCAAAGACGTGCTGGCAGACAAACTGTTATCTCTAGGACTTAGTTAATCCTCGGAGGGGTGGTTCCCCAGTCCACAAGGCCCCAAATGCCAGAGCATCAAGAATAAGGAAAAGAAGAAAATATAATTAATACAGCCTAGAACAGTTGTTGACAGAGAAAAGGCATTTAAAAACACATTCGTGGACTGACTGACTGACTGACTAGAAGGTTAGAGAGCCTAAGATCAAGTTAGAGACATAGCAAGGGAAGGCACACTTTTCTTATAACTAAGCTTTCTTC